TACGAGTGTTGGTGATTTGCGACGCCCATCTAGATGCCTTTAGTCTAGGATGAATTGTTTTGAATTCTGAAATGGTGTTTGGAGGTTAGGTCGCACTTATCTTTGACTTTCCAGGCTCTGACGAAGGCGACGAGGCCGAAACGTAAGCCTAATAAAGTGATTATAACATCTTGGTCACAGCTGCACAATTATTCGAGAAACCCAAACACTCCTGGGTTTCCCGGGTGCCTTTTAATCACAACCAAGCCTTCCATTCCTCCAGGGTCGGTTAATTGGTACCAGACTTGTCTGGGAGGATAAAAACACTGATACACATCTGGCTGGCCCCGCAAGTCATTGTATAGGCCACATCGCATTCAAACGCCACTACGAATGTACAAATGGAAGTAGAATGCGTGCCGCATCCCAAGACGGGATTGATCAACGGCAAATGCTTTATCCTTTATCCTTTAACTCTAATAGATTCCGTATGCATTATTGGCTTGCATAGCCCGCAAACGTGCTCTCAGACAAGCACTTACGTTTACGTCCTTACTTTAGATCCACTGCGCCAAGCCTAGCTGCGAGATAGCGAAAGCTTTATGCATTTCAGGTGCGTACGTTCTCCATGAAACATTACCCTCTCGTGACTTGGACACACTCTATCCTTCCTAATGTTCACCTTTGTCAGTCATCACCCGACATTTATTGCGATTATTGCCTATGATCAGGGTTCCGGAAAAAATGTCCCGGGTGAAAATACAGTTATGAAGCTCATATCACTACTGAAGTTTATTTAATACTTGTTGTATTTTCACGACTTCCATTTCAGACTGTCGATGAGCTCATTTTCTCGGGTTACGTCTCTCCACTAGTCACCAAGTTCGCCAACCGCCTCATCCAGATATCTAACAAACTGCTTGGAACCAATATTGCGCTCATCGATGGAACAAATTTCACCGTGGCTTTGAACGTATGTTATTAGTTAGGTACCCGACAGGAGGCCTGTCGCGCGGCAAGAAGAGTCAGCGGACGAGTCGCAGCGCGTACTGTAGTGATTTCGCGTCAAGTTAAATAGAATGTACCATTGTACGTCCTACATCGCACATCACGCGCTGCGACTCGTCCGCTGACTCTGCCTTCTTGCCGCGCGACGGGCCTCCTGTCGGGTAGTTATGTACAAGACCAAAGGAAGTTTTTCGCTTTGTCAATATCTCTCAATATCGTTGTCAATAAGTCTTTAGACGCTGCCTTTCACGTACAGTCGAAGGGCCTACGAGAATCGGAAAGCCAATTGGTCAAATTCGAAGTCTCACGCCGTGAAATGAACGTCATTTGAAGCATGCTAACACATATTCAGTGACCTGGCGCGTACTCGGCCGCTCACTTGAAATGTGCCCACTTTTTCGTTCGTTGAGTGACGGGTCTTATGCACTACACTGAAACTGCAACTAGCTCACCTCAGGCTGCGAAAAAGCCTCGCTTCCTTAGGTCCCGACTACTGCTTCCACTGGTGCATGTACTTCCATGCTGCATACACACTTTACCGTGATTTCTCACTTTAATACACTTACAACAGTACTGTTCTACTGCAGCAGGTTCATGTATTGAACTCTACTATCGGCTCCGATTCTGCTGCACGTATAACCAGTGGGTAATCTTTCGCAGTTGAAAGGCCAGATTAAATCTTTTGGAAGAACTTTTCTCTAATACGTCGTCTAGACAAAAACCAAGTAAAAATCTAATACTGTAAGGATCTCTATTTTAGGTGTTGGTACTTTCGTCACCTCAGCGGACTTATCACAGCCGAGTTGTAATACTGACTGTTACCGTCTTGATAACAATGCTCCGATTTTGATTGGGCATTGTACCATGACTGTTCGCGTCCGTTTGGCGAAATATATGAAATAAAATTTGCGGGCGAGGAATCCCATTCAACCCACGCCAAGGAATACCTGTGCTGGTGTTTCAGCCTGCTAATGGAACAACGGATACGCTGTATACGGTGCAAACCGGGAAGACTGACTACTCTCGAGCTGGATACACCATTTCTTTTACAAGTTTGGCGAATCAATCTCTTCCGAGCAACGGAGACAAGCTGCCTTCTCAATGGTATGTCTATTA